ATTAATGGGCGCATGTCGCTGTTTTATTACACTTGTGCATATTCTCCGTCAGCGCTGAGAGGCAGACAGGAAAACAGAGACAGACTGAGGCTTCATGGGATTACTCTGAAGGCAGACAGAGCGTATAGGACTGTGCCAGATCGTCATCATCAACAGGTAGGAGGGAAAAAAGGACATAATCTGGGTAAAAACATGGAAATAAAAAGCTAAATCCTTCATCTGCCGCAGCAAATAGCATCCGGCCGTCCATCATCCTGCCATCATCCCTCGCTGAGTTAATGCTATGTGGAGGTAAAGCTGCACTAATCCCTTTTGGGCTCACACGCAGACGTCCCCGTTCACTTTGTTCAGCCCTCCAGCTGTAATACATCCGACTGAGACTCCAAAAATAAGAAGTGTCAACATGAACAGCTTGGCCTCAACTTTTCTCAGCCTGAGCCTGCAGATAATGAGCTTTACACATTTTAATTTAACAGTTTTACTGAATTCGATATACAGAAGACGGAGGGCGGTCGGTGCGCTTACCTCATCTACAGACAGAGACACGCTGTTATTTTGAACAAAGCTTCACACAAAGTGTCACCTGTTCCTATTTTTGTTTTGTTTTGTTTTACAGGAGACACTTTTCTATGTTAATCTTATCAGTTTTTTATTCATCATTTTATCGCCAAAGAATCAACAAAAAGGAAAACTGCATGAAGAGAAAGAGCTCACGTACTTCCTGACACGCCCACAGGGTTCACGTGACTAATTATTCTGGAGGAAGAGGCGCTCGCTCTTCACAAAAAGCTTCATTTTATTCTGTTTTTATTATTTTAAATCTAGAAACACAAATATAGAAACAGAAAAAAACTCCACCTCAAACGTCAAACACGAGATAACTTCGACAAACTCAGCCGTACTTCCTCTCTTTTACATTTTCAGTTCATGACGTTTGTTCCAAACCATCAGTCGCAGCAGTTAGGACTAGTTTATGATTAGGTGTGGTTTTACTCAGCTGTTGCTCGTCTCCTCCATTCACCTGAATATCACTTTTATCGTTTTAATGTTTTTTTATTCCTTGGCTTATGACACAGTTTGACCCTGATTTTACTGCTTTAATTTAATCTAATGTGCCGATTTTATTGATTTCATTTAAGTCTTTTGTCATGTCAAGTGTACAGCACTTTGCTTTCAGCTGGGAGTTGACTGAAAGTGCTATCTAAATAAATTGCTTGCTTGCTAATATGAACCTGAGCATTTGCTTCAGTTTAAAACACACTAAATTATTTTCCCTTTTTTCTATTCTTTCAGTTTTGTCTCCTGATTCTGTCTTAGTCTATTTTTTACCTTGTTCAGCTTTTATACTTTCATGCTTGTTTTTTCCCCCATTTACCTTATGTTTTTATTTATTTATTCTACTTTGTGTACTATTATAAGGTGACCTTGAGGGTCTTTAAAGGCGCCTATAAATAAAATGTATTATTTTATTATATTTTTTTTTCTGTTTTGGTAAAAAAAAAAAAACTATTTATTTAAAATTGAAATCTTTGCTGATGTTGGTATTATTGGATATTCTAGTAAGAGAAAGTTTGTGTTCAATCATTTTAAATTGTTTAATTATTATTCAATTAAAATTGATTTTTTTGACTTAGAGAGAAGAAGATCAAAGAAAAACAAAATCAGCAGGAAACTCAAAATCCCGATCTCTCGCTCCAAACGTCTTGACTTACTCAGATAAATGTAAGTGGCTTAAAATGTTTATATTTAATAAACAGGCTCCACTAATACGTCTGTCTTCCTGAGCATCTGTTCACAAACATTTAGGCATCAAATTAGTGTCCAAATTGTTGAATTAAAAACCAAAGTCTGTCCGACTGACCCTCTTCTCTCCATGGAAACAAGGTCCACATCTGTCCACAACCCCAACCAGCTTAGAGGAGCTAACGCTGTCATGAGTACACCATGTGGATACTACTGTGGTAACCACGCTTCACAGGATAAACAGACTCATGCACAGAAAGCTCTGAGTGTCCTCTGAGTGCCAGCCTTCGTTCGGCCTCAGATCAGCTTGATCCGAGGGATTCAGCAACACCTGATTTTTAATGGTTCAAATTTCCTGACCCCAAAGCTCAACCCGCCCAAGCTTAACAAGCCCCGAGCACTTCAAGCTCCCTGTAGAGTAACGAAGAAATGAAACTTGGTGATAAGGGTCAGGAAGTGTTTACAGCCGACACTTCAGACCTCACAACTTTTTACCAGACTGGTCTGGACGAACGCTAACCAGAGCTGTGCTGCAGTTTGTCTGTCAGCTGAACTTTAATAGCCGGAGAGTAAAATCACTCAGAAAGCGCCTCATTTTGCTGTAATTATTCCTGTAAACCCTCATTAATGAGAACAATGGTCACATCTGTTTGGCTGATAACTGCAGTGAATTTATGAGCGCGCACACACACACACTCCTCGCTGATGAGTTTTTAATGATGCTGCTGCCCAGTTATTTATCTGCGCTGATGAAATAATCTTCTTCCTGCAGCAGTTGGTCTGTTAAACAGTGAAACTGTGTTTCTGCGAAGGCTTTTGTTCCAGCAGTGGTTTCACATCCTTCGTAATATTTAATAACTGTAGAAATTTTGAGAAATATTTTCCGGGCGCTATTAGCATAGACCGGGAGTTTGTTAGAGCCGACAGTAAACACCAAAAAAAGCTCAGTTATTAAAAGAGTTTATATTTTTGTGTAAATGGTTAAATTAAGCAGTACAGTAAACTCTAATCTGTATGGATACAGATCGCACAATGCAGGTGACACAGACTCAAACCTCAACACTACAAACAGCTGTAAATTAAATCTTTCACGACATGTCAGGACAATGCGCTGGTCTAGCTGGATGTTGTCACTGTGTTTATTAAACCTACACTAATTCATCACTTCATCTCACAATTTATTTATTCATTGTTTACTTTTATTGCCATGAAAACAACAAGTGTAAAGTGAGGGGAAATAATCTGTTAGCCTTTTTAGCCTAACTTTAAGCTACACGGGCAACTCTGAGTCCTACCAACAATAGTAAAAATATAATAGAAAGCAGCTTAATGGCTTTAAAAATGGCAAACGTGAAAAAGAAATGAAAGTAGGTGAGCTTCAGCTCAGTTTTTTAGGAAAGTTCAGGTGCAGATCAAGCATACCAGTAATGCCTCAGTCACACGGTCCTAGATACTGGCTGGCAGCTACTGGAAACAGAGAATGCACTCATCACGGGGCGACCATGGCTCAGGGGGTTGGGAAGCGTATCTGTAACCGGAAGGTCGCCCATGTCCTGGTCGTTGTGGGCAAGACACTTTACCGCCTACTGGTGTTGGCCAGAGAGGCCGATGGCGCGATATGGCAGCCTTCGCTTCTGTCAGTCTGCCCGAGGGCAGCTGTGGCTACACCTGTAGCTGCCTCCACCAGTGTGTGAATGCGAGAGTGAATGAATAGTGGTATTGTAAAGCGCTATATAAATCCATTATTATTATTATGCAATCTTGTGTTTTAAAACTACCTCTTCCCATGTATGTATGTTACAACATGATACAAAACCCAAAAAAGTAGACTGCTAATCCAACTGTAAAGCACATGAATACATGTTATTATGATGTGCCATATATAAAGCCATTCTTTGCTGGATAAATGTGAAAAGCAGCCAGACTCTCCGTCTCAGTATTGTCTAGTATGGGGGAACCAGTGGAAGAGCAGATGCTCCATCCAAAGGTTGAAGCATACAGATGTTGTCCTTTAAACATCTGTATAGTCAAAATTCTTCAAAATTATGATGACGTTTGGTCTGTTGAAGAACTGAGGCGTGAATTTAATAAGAACAGCATACATAGATATCAGAGGTTTATCATCTGGTTACATCCAGCAAACAACGTTGAATTAACGAGGCACAAAACTCGGGACATGGGACATTCACGTCTCACCTTTGACCCCCTCCTCCTCTCCAGTGACTGATGTCATTTGTGTGCTTGTTTTCTTTCAGTAATTAATCAATGCAAAAAGATCAATAACAGGAAACAACACAGAGGCACTAGTCTGAACACTGCAACAGCCTGAAAATGTCCCCACTTTGCACACGTCCTCATGCGAAAGGTCCCAAAACTCCCACGTGTCCTCACAAACATATATGTACAAGTAGATGTTCACACTTTTCCCCTCTATTTATTTTT